GGTCTATCAGACCATATTTCCCTGTTTATCCTGACAACTTACACCCAGCTGATGAAAAGGGTCAAACCATCAGTAAAAAGTGTGGACAGATTAAGCTCCAGCAGCTCTACAGGACAGTTTTGAGTACACAGACTGGCACATATTTACAGAGGCGGCCACCCAGGAGAACAACTTTAATCGGGAGGAATTATACATCATCAGTAACTTTGATCTCCTCAACAGAGTCAGCTTTAAAATCTACTCCAGATAATTGAGCGATGACAGTATCCACAGAACAGGGAGGGAACTATATCCAAATTTAATTCTACAACCCTGTTGTGACAATAAAATATCCTTGAATGCTTAAATCTTTGAACTAGTGGACACTAGTTAACCAAATTCTCCGCTCTGTGACCAGCTGTAGCCAATTATGACTATAGCCATGCACGCCCTTACAATGATCACATTCATTGAGTGGTCCGGATCACTCGTCTGCTGTTATCCAAACACATGTTTTGCACTGTATAATGCATTACTCTAAAGCAATGTTGAGCTTCCTATGTAAATTACACTTCATAATTAAGCTGACATTATCCTGATGGACTGTAAAATTCGAATTATAATATAGCCTGGTTCTAAATGTATCACATAGCCTAATTACATCATCATAATTTAAAATAGCTATTGATGGGGTTCTCTTCAGGTCTCACAGTGCAACATCACTTATCACGGCACATATTCTTTCCTCTATCTCCGTTATGCAGACTTCTCCCCGATCTGTTTTTTTGTCCTCGTTACAAACCCTTTTCTCAGAACAGGGTTCCTTGAAACAGATTATGGTGGATAAATGCGAAGCATATTTAGGATTGCAAAACAGTTACAGATACGCTTTAAGGTTTACAATTAGTTGGAATGACAATTATTGCGTTTATAACTATAAAAACCTTGTGTGATGCGACACAAATGAAAGCCCATGAACACACACACATACATACACACACACACACACACACACACACACACACACAAAACCACACACCCCAAAGGGTGAGCCACTGTGGGTGCATCAGCCCAGGAGTGCTCTGCATTCAGTCCACTCTTCCCATTCTTGTAGATCACAATGGAGAAGGATTTATCAAACCACCTAAGGGACAGGAACAGAAAAAAACCCAGCTCTGAGACAATTTGGAATGCTGACATGACGTGAGGGATGACGTATATAGGTGTGAAAAACCACAGAACTTAATCAAATGTTCTCCCTCTGACGCGCCTCACCGATCGTAACATTTTCCATGGAGCAGGGACTTGGCGTAGCGGTCCAAGTTTCCCGCTGGGTCCTCTCCCCTCATGCCTTGCTCTTCTTCATCCAAGGTTACGAAGAAAGCAGCCCTCTCGATGGCATCCAGTGATCGCTTGTTGATGCCGGAGCTGAAGTACTGCTTCCTCATCTGAGCCCAAGGAATCCTGGGAGGGCACACACAAACAGCAAAACAATCACGCTTAATGATCACTGGTACATACATGATTGCAATCCATCACAGCACAGGCTGCTGAAAGTGTCTCAAGACCACAGGAAGTTTATAAAAGCAGAAACTGTACTGAACTGTACAAAAGTACATCTGCCCTTCTGTTGAGAGTCAAAAGGTTACACATTCAAGCAAAAAAATGTTTTTGTTTGGTTAGTCTCTTGTGGGCTCCTGTAGAGACATGGCGGTTCGACATTCCACTCCATGGAAGGCGACCCACTGTGTCTGTAGATAGAAACGTTGCATTCTAAGATAACAAAAATGCAACTATTCTGTGATTATACACTAATGAAAACCTATGAATATTCTATTACAAAAAAGTGGAACATAATGCATTACAGAGAAACTGCAACCAATGAGATCCATTAGTGTAATGTACTTTGGCGTAATGGGATATTACATTATGATGGAGATTGATGATGTGGCATGAATGTAGAAGTGGGGTTCAGACCTGAACATCCCAACTTCTTAAAACAGTCAAGGGTTTGGCTTCAAGTCCCACTGAAACATGCACAAACTCAACCCACACAGAGAATGAGTCAATAAGCTGTGTGTACCAGAGTCTGTCAATGATCATTGACAATGATTAACCAGACGTCTGAACTCTTTCCTGTGGTTATCTCATTTTACCCACTCCCCACCAATAGCAGAACACAAAATGTTGTTCACATTTGAGCTAATTTCTCTTTCAGTTTGTGCAGATATCGTATGCGCTCATGTATTAGATCATCAGCTGTGTGCGATCTAATGTTGACAGACAGTAAAGGCATCAGGCTGGTGAGGGGTGCTTTTGTGTGTGTGTGTGTGTGCGCTCTGATGCAGCCTAGTCTGCAACACACAAGTCATTGTAATGCTGTTGTAATTAAGCGCAGCGAGCTCAGCTCTCAATTAAGCTGATTCCCTCCTACGCTTCTTATAAGAAAAACCACATAAAATCCCAATACTCCTGGCATTATTGATTGGCTAGTGGCTAAACTCCTGGAAGTCTTTTCCCAAAACAACATTAGAGCTCCAATAGGGGCTTCTCACAAACAGCTGTTTTTTGGTTCAAACTCCATTCAGAAAACAAGCATTTTAAAAGTTGTTTGCTCATCGTCTTGCGCACAGACCTGACAAAGTAGGAATTCAGACTTTTTTTTTACGAATCTCCATCACCTTGTTATTTCGGCATCCTTTTTTTTTTTTTTAAAGTTATTCTTTTGGCCTTTTATTGCCTTTAATTGACAGTGACAGCTGAAGATAGACAGGAAGTGGGGGGAAGAGAGAGTGGGGATGACACGCAGCAAAGGGCCGCAGGTCAGATTCGAACCCGGTCCATACATGGTCGCCAGCTCTACCCCGACTGAGCTAACCAGGCCCCATGTCTGCACCGTTTTTGATGGTTTCATAAACATTCACAGCCAGATCTGTTTTTTTAGGCTCATACCACTGTTGTAAACCATATCAAAAGGGCCAGTATCACTCACATGAGTAACACAAGAAAATACAAGCGAGTAGCATTACGTAGCCACTACTACAGAAAAACAAAGGACAAACAGGTAAACCCAATGCCACTTAATGCAAAAACCCATTCCCATACGCCGCAGTGTACCCCCCACCCTATCACACCTACCTGTCTCCTGCAGTGAGAGCTCCCAGTTTGTCCTCTCCAGGCTTCGGCGGTGAAGGGTCATCCAGAATCCTCTGCATCTGGTGCTCAATCTCCCGAGGAGATAGCAGCCGCCCTGCCTGGTACACCCACAGCCGGAAGTAGCGACCATTGTGATAAACTACAACAAACTCGCTGTCCTGCCAGTGCTGGAGCACATCTGTGGAAGAGGAGAGGGTAGTCATGTTAAGCTAACAGGTTATTAAACTATGGGATCCGCGCGTGTGTGTGTGTGTGTGGTGTGTGTGTGTGTGTGTGTTACCGGTCTCGACTCCTGGTGTGCGTGTTGTGTTGAACATCCTCTCACACTGAGCCGCACACAGAGGGATAACAGTGCCTGGAACCCGACTCTGACACAAAGACACACACATGTATTATTCATATTTATTGTTTAATGGGACGCTCTCACTTGTCGGGACCCCCACTAGGGGTCGC